CCGAATGCAAACTCACGGCCCTGAGCAATCATAAGCTAGTTGCGTTTATGAGCAAACATTTTCGCTGGCAGCGCTGAACACCTAAACCTTACGCAAGCCGTAGTGAACCGTGAACCTAAAGTAAGAATACCGGCCGTTTTACAGAAGAGCAAGCAGCTGCAAATCAGCAGAAAGTCGTACATTTTTGTAGCATCTGCTGCACCCTCAGGCCAGCAGTGCCCCATGACCATGCCGAAAGCTGTGATGACAAATCTTCAAAGATGGGTAGGCCACAACCACCCAGTGCAGACAAAAACGAGTTTCATTCCACAACGCGAAACACTGGGACAGCGATGCACCAAAAAATGAGGTTGTCTGCGTAGAATCGCTGGCTCGTTCTGGACTCCTACATTCGACTCAACAACCGCCCAAAACAGCAGCGCGTAATCTTAGTTGCGCACTGCCCCACGACATGAATATGGGGAAGAGGTGCGTAAGCGTTCCAACGTGGAGTTCGGAGAGAGACGCGGCAGACCCTGAATGAAAGTGCTGAATGCGTTTGTGCCCTCCCCCGCAGCGTCACAGGCTGTAAGTGATTGAGGCGATGGCTGTGGTGAGTTCAGCGTGATATGCAGCCACGTTGTGCACTTCTTCTAGATTCTTTTTCGTGAAGAAGATGGTAGGAAGATTGAAAAGGCCGGGAATTGTCGGCCAAACTGCAAGCTACGTCGAGTTCACAAGTCATGCGCAGGGATTATAAGAACATACTGAACAGGGGTCGCTGCCTTCATCTGTAAGACTTCCAGCTCGTGTTTCGAAATGTTCTTCTGTCGTAACATGCCGTAGAGCAGCGGTGCAGCTCACGAGGTAAACGACTGCCATTATAGCAAACAGAGATAAGAGAACAAGGGGGGTTCTGGTTTTGAGAAATCCCGTTCCTAAGAGGGCGGAAGGGCCCTTAGACCTGGCGAAGACCTCTTCATCTTGAGCAACCGTCCCTGATTCGGGCGAGGCTTTAACCGCTGCGTTGGGGACTGGGGGAGATCCCGGTCCTAAGTGCGCAGGAGGTGCCCTGGCCTTCACGAAGACCTCACCATCTCGAGAAACCGTTCCAGGTTCAGGCGAGGTTTGAACAGCTGTTTCGGGCAGGGCTGCTGAGGCCTGGACAACTTCTACGAGTACACAAAAAATAGAGAGAAGAGGAAGCAAGGGGTACATCTTCACAAGATCCACATCTCAAGCAAACATTTATGCAAGAAACCCGCCCAAAAATGTGGTTTCTGGTATAACCTTATCAAGAGACCACTCTTACCAATACGGTCAGTCCCGAGAAACGACTCCGTAGACACTCTCGTGGGGAGCGATAGGCCACTGCTCCGGACTTCCTTTTATGCCCTTTTTTTTAATTGCTGTTGATTAATTTAACTAATATATGGTTATTTTGAAGAATGCGGATTAAGTCAACTAATGATACTACAGGCCTCAGACAGCATCAGATGCTGAACAACGGGTCCAACGGGAGAGTTTAACACCTCTGTCCCTGTAGAGTAGCTCGCAGCTGCTCAGTGCGACTCTGCTATTGGAAGTGCCTATATTTCTTAGGCAAAATATCAGGGGAAAGTCTCTAAAACTCGAGTATGGGTCAGCTTATCCTTTGCGTCCCTCTGGCGCCGCAAGGCAGCTGAGCCCCTAGACCCAGCGAGTTTGTGCTTACAGGACGATGCCAGAGGTATGGTTTTAAAGTACATATTTTCTTCAGTTGAAGCTTCACAAATAGAGCGCACAAGGCGTGGCCACGTAGGTACTCGTATCACTAATCTCCGGCGGGATATATCTATGCTGTGGTTTTGCATGCGCTTGGGAAGTTAAAGCAGAACACGAGGAGAACTCGCGCAGGCTCGAACCCGCTACCGTGTAGCCACATTTGCCTGAACCACTGTGATTGGGACGCCGGGAGGCAGGCAGGGAAAGCCGGCCTATTATAAACCTATCCGTAGAGTACCTTCC